CGAAATGACATCTGGCTGTACTCCCCACCTCCCGTATATATATACCTCTCTCTCTCTCTCTTTCTCTCTCTCTCTCTTATTGACATAGGGCAGTGCATGTATTCACCAAAGAGAAACAGAAATAACACCCCCAGTGAGACATGGTCACTGCTCAAACCACGATAACTTCCTGTCCATTTCTCCATCCTATCGAGATTTTGAGCATGCAGGCATAGGTCTTTGGCATGCTTTTCAAGCCATTGAGGCCAGGATTCAAACCATGGTTGGCCATGTGGGAATCCAGTTCCCTTAACCACTAGTCTTTGAGTCAGCCAATATCTGACTTATAATAGAACAAATATGTATGAATGAGTGGAAAGTAGGACACATTCCCTACATGAACTACCATTTAATTTTTTAAAAACTCTGTGATGATAATACTATCAATAGCCTTTTTTTTTCTTCAGATAAATGATCTGAGGTTCAGAGAAGTGAAATAAGTAATCCAAGGTCTCACAGCTAACCAGCTTTATGGGCTGACTCTGGAGTATGAGAGAGAGAGAGAGAGAGAGAGAGATAGATAGAGAGAGAGAGTCCCTCCAATGGACAGTGGTCACACCACAATCCTTTTTTCTCCATTTTTCCATCTCGTCATGATCCTCGGCATGCACATACACGCACATGTTGGATATGGTTCTTAAAGCACAGCACTGAACTGCTGTGTCATGGGAACTGCCCTCTGCTTTTCAAATACCAATACATCATGGGACCAGCAGGTGGCATAGTGGTCAAGGACGCTGAACTCCCACATGGTTGACTGCGGCTTGAGTCCCAGACCTGGTGGCTTGCTTTCTCACTTTCCATCTCTCTTTCGCTCTCGCTCTGTCCCTATCTGGCCAAATTAAAATAAAAATAATAACATAAATAAAATAATTCTTTAAAAAAATTCCAATATATCAGATTTTTTTTCGGATGCGGAGGTTTTTCTCCCCATATCTGGCTAGTCAATGGTAACCTATTTTCTCCCTCAATGGAGAGAATTACTATAGCCAATATTGAAACCTCAGCAAAGTGGGAGTGAAAGTACATTGCAATTTGAAGTGCCAAGCTATTTATGAGATCGTTATATGCTATAATTGGGGGGATCATAGAATACCTCGAGTCACAGAACTGACCTCTCATAGGTCTTTCTATGCTTCCAGGACTTGTGAGCATGTCTCAGTGGGAGGCAAGGGCAAAGGGGCAGGTGCTTACATGTGGCACTGCTGTGTTCTGATTTAAAACCTCTTTGCTTAAGTCCTTAGGAAGAGGGTAGTCAGGCAGACAAATCTTCCACAAAAATAAACTGAGTGGCTACCTTCCCACATCTGATTATTTTTTGAATTTCACAATGTCTTCGCTTAGCACTTTAGCTGGACTGTATTGATACCACCTTTTCCTTGATTTCAATATAATATATAGGCTTCAGAAGCCATCTTATGAATTATCTTGCCAAAATAGTAAAACATTCAAATAGTCTCATAAAATATTGAAACATGTGGTAGTATGACAGGCTCTGCTAAAATTAAGACATTCAATTTCCCTTTAATAGTGATAGCTCCCAGAATATGTGCAAAGTAATATGTCTATTTGCCTGGAAGCCGGAGGATCTCAGCTGACATTTAAATACATGATCATTCCAGCAGTTCAGGAAGGAAAGAGCTGCGTTGGTGCCAAGTTCCTGGCTTGGCAGGTAGTGGAGAGCTCATGCCGTTTTCCACATGAATACACAGGGATGTCTTGCACAATAGTGTTTGTGTTTTTAAAATGGCTTTTAGAGAAGACTCAGGTTTCCTCCTGGAATGACTTTATTATGGGAAAGGTAATTCTTGGGCAGAAAGATACAGGGCTTGCATTTCTACTGGTTCAG